TGAGAGAATTGTTATGTAGTTGCACGAGGTTTCTGTGGTGCGGTTGTTGTTGTGTTTGCACGAGGTTTCTGCCATGCGGTTGTTATTGTGTGGCACGAGGTTTCTGCCGTGCTGTTGTTATTATTGATACGCATACGGTAGTATAAGTTCTGGGTGTTGAAACACATGCGGTGAGAGAAGGTGGGCTTGAAACGCGTGGCTAGTAGGGGAACTACTAGAAGCATCCAATGTGATAAGGTGGGTTAAAACGCGGGATGCTATTTCGGGAAAAAATGATTTTCAAAACTAAATATAAAGGCTCCCGCGGTGATATAAGTAAAGTTGTGATTCATTTTATGATTTGAGACTACGAGGCAGTACCTCGGTAGGGCTCTTATTGTCATTTCCCTTTTCTGTGCACTTGTCTTTGATTGTTGTTTTCCTTGGCATACTATTAACTGTTTCCCTCCGTGTTGCACTATTTGCTCAGTTCTATGTAGCTAATCTTGTTGTGCCGGTCGCTGCTCCAAACTTTATTGCTTCCTTTATTATACTGTACATTTTGTGGTGATCGTTTCTTATGTGCCATTCATTGTCTCTACTCTTATTTGTTGACTTGAATTGTGGTAGAACACTTGCACAAGCATACACGTAGTTAAATTACCCATATTGGTTGTAAAAGATGAATCCTGACGTCATTGACCATTATACGTACTCTTGTCTACTTGCCTTCTGTGTGAGGAATGTTCTATTGGCATGTGAGTCATCCGTGCATTTATGAGTTGTAATGTGGGCACAAGATGCCAAGTGATTAGGGTTCACAAATTGGGATCCGTGATTTGTGGTTTTGAGGTTTAGTACCTCGGGAAATCCTTGGATAAAAACTGTGTGAAAGCGGTTGTCCCTACTAGTTGTCACTTGTCTTCCTTTATTTGGTTTCACCGTATTTGAACTGTGTTCAGCTTACTCTACAGAGTTACTACCCATTGTGTCTCATTGCTAATTGTTGCTTTTAGTCCCTATTATAAGCATTGTATTATTATTATCATCATCATGCCTAGCCTTATACTGATATTGTTCCCCGCTAGGTCTATATTCATACTTGTTCAGATTGTTTAGTCCAGTGGGTGTCTTGACTGTTCCTCATCACTACTCCACCGAGGTTAGTCTTGATACTTACTGGGTACCATTGTGGTGTACTCATACTACGCTTCTGCAAATTTTTGTGCAGATCTTAAGTGCCTCGGTTATTGATGATTATTAGCTAGCTGGTCGAGCATTGCTGTGGTGACTCAAGGTAAACCTACCGTCGCGTCCGCAGGCCTCGGAGTCACCTTCTGATATTGTACATGTAGTGTTTAATTTCCATTCCAAATAGTTGTATTTAGGGATTCTTCTAGTAAACTCAATAGATCTTATGACTTGTACTACCGGTTTTGGGATGTTATTTCATGTTGTAAATGTTGAGTCATTTAGAAATATCCAATTTCCACTTAATAGTTCTGTTAGTTAATTTCTGTCAGTTTATTCAATAAGTATTAGTTTTACCTAGTCGTAGAGACTAGGTGCCGTCACGACATCCTACGGAGGGAAACTGGGGTCGTGACAGAGTGATCTTTTTGTCCATAAACATACTTGTGGCTTTCTTAATACCAATATGATTTAAACTTTGGCATATAAATTCTTGATCTTTGAAAAAGAAAAATGATTGAAGTAAGGATTATTGTCATGACTTTTAGACTCAATTTTCGGCTCTTTGATTCATTAAATAGTCTCTTTAGGCTATGAGTGATTTTTTTGAGTTCATTTATTTTAATTGGGTTTTGGATACATATTTTGCTGGAATTCGCATGTGCCATGTGTGGTGAGGTTTGTTGTGAGTTCTTTTGTATGAATTGTAGTGTAGAACTTGCCCGGAATGTGCTTCAAGGCAAAATCCTAGACTAACTTTTTTTGAAAAATGATGTCAGGCCTTCCTTGGACCGCTCCTTTGCCTTAAATTTCCTATCCTTGAATATTTTCCCTAGTCAACCTCTTTTGAGCCTTTAACCTTTTATTTGGCAACCATGTTACAAGCTTTAACTTTTTGTTCTTTATTTATCTATCTTTTGGCATCCTACCTCCCTAAGTGTTTTGAAAGTGTGAACATATGCTAAAAGCCTAAGTTTGGANTATATATAGTGGAACCTTCCTTGGCTTTTGGAAAAACAAATATACAAAAGAAGAAAAAGGAAGGAACGATAAGGAATCCTGAATAAATGGAAGACTAGGTGATGAAATGAAAAATGAAGAAAGGATGGAAAGGTTTTTGAAGGAAGTGTACTTTGTTGAAAAATTGTAGCGCTTAGGAAGGTTTTGAGTCACTCTAACCAAAATTGTGCCCTACCTTAACCAAAAGCCTACACTACAACTCTTTAAGTCCTAATTGATTTTCAACTAAGTGTGTCTATATTAGTGGAGAAATACATGAAGGGAAAGCCTATAGTACTACTTGTGTGCATTTGAACATCTTTGTGAGAGAGAGTTAATTGTTTTCATTTGATATCCCATTTATGTTTTGAATTGCAATTTATGAGTGTGAGATTCTCTCTTGCTTGTGAGGGCACATTGAGATTTGAGTTGTTAATTTATTCCTTTTTCCAATTGAAAAGAATGAATAAAAGAAAAGTCGTTTTGTGACGAAGAGGCAAATTTTGAAGCTTTAGTGCCATGACTTGATTTCTACTTTGACTAACTTGGTGTTTGAGCACTTGAAATAAAATGATATTATTAAGAAGTTGTTGGTGATTCATATGTCTTAGATTAATTGGTTGTACAAATTAAAGTCATGTATTTGTGCTTAAAGTAGATTTTTTGACTAGGTATGATATTGATGCACTATTGAGTTAAATACTTAAAAGGAGATTTTGTGCTTTGATTGCTTTAGGACAATAGTTAAATTTGGGGGTTTGATAAGTTGGTATTTTACCAACTTAACTCATCTTTAATCTTAGATTTTTGCTATGTTTGATTGCTAAAATTATGTGTTTAATGTCATTTACTTCTATTTTACAGGTTTTATGTGATTTAGAAGTGATCGTGAAGAAACCAAGTGAAAATGAGCGAAAAAGGAGCTAAAATGTTCCCCAGTGAATTTCCCTTCGCGAACACAAAGAATTAATGGAAACGCGAAGTAGCAGGAAACCAAACCTTTGCGAACGCAAAGGAGAGATCGCGAACGCATAGCTACAGGGAAACAAACCTTCGCGGACACAAAGGAATGATCGCGAATGTGAAGTAATAATCGCAAACGCGAAGAAGAAATGGGGAAAGAACTGGGTAGTTCTGGAATTTTACGTTTTTGACCTCGAAACCATTTAAGACACGACCTAGCTCATTTGTAAGGGATCTTTGGCTGATCTCTGAACATTTTTGGCATATCTTGACTGGAGAAGATAAGTTTTGGAGCTAGGGTTCTTGCACACACACTTGGGTTTTGAAGATTTGAAGCTTTTGTTTGAGAGTTTCTTACCCATTTATGTTCATTTCTTCATTCCTTGCTTTGTATTGAATATCTAAGTGTGTAGTATTTCTTCTAACACTTAAATTTTATTTATGGGAATATTCATCTTTAAAGTGTGGATTAAATATCTTGTTGTGCTTATGTATTGAATAATTTTTATTTATTATGAAGTGAGTTATTGTTTCTTTAATTAATTTATTCTTTAATATTTCCAAAGGGATTAGCTAACCTTTGGACTCACCCATTAACTTCAAAATAATTTTGGAAAAGATAATTTGGGGTTGAGAAAGATTAATTAACAAGAACTTGAGGCGTTAGCCCTCACTTTATAGATTCTACCTAGGGATAGGATTGAACTACTTGTAGCCATATTCGGGTGTGCTTAATCTTTTAATTATTTTAGGGATAATTCAATTAGGAAGTCTTGTTAGTCATCGGAAGAAGCTAATATAGAATTATTACCCGAGGCTAGTTAACATAAACTCGCTCATACTTGTAAAATCGTGAAATACATTGGATCGTTACTTGAGTGTAATTCCCATTGCATCAATGCCTGCAACGATTGATCATTTTACATACTTTCTAGGTTAGTTTATATTTTCGCATTTAGACATAAATATTTTCTCAAAACCCTTTTAAGTGTTCAGCTTAGCATAATAAGTGATAATTCTCTTACACGCCTAATCGCCTACATATTGTTCTCTATGGGATTCGATCCCGACTCATAGTTGGGTAAATTATAATGCATGCGACCGTGTCCATTTACTTTTTATTAGTGAATTTAGATATCACCAAAGCTTGGTCGTAGATACAGAAGGCCCGGATTTTAGTGGAACTCGCAGAAATGTGTCTTAAGCGACACTGCAAAAGCGGTAGATTTGGTTGAAGAAGCGAGAATTACCGAGCAGAACATTTTTAATCAAGGGTTTAGCCTCATTTTTTTATATTTTGATATTGGGATCTCAGATTGGGGCAACCTTTGAGGCAATTTTTACCCACTTGGATTGGGTAAGTATTCTAACTCGGATTTAATTATTATTCGTGATTCTCACTACTGAAAAATGGGCCTATGACAATAATTGTTTTAGCACCGGTTCACAAACCGTTGCCATAGAACAGATATAGTAACGATTACAACCGTTACAATAGCATTTGGGTGGTATCAGCACTGTTTAGCTATCAAACCGTTGCAATTGTAACAGAAACGTTGCAATTGTAATAAAACCGTTGCCATAGAATTTTGTTTTCGCAACGAATGTTTAGACTGTTCCAATAGACATATTTATGGCAACGGTTTTTGA